CCTATTTGTTCTCTGTATTTAAGAGTCTCTTATGTACTGCCTCCCTGGTTTTATTTTTCCTTCCCTTCCTCTATGTTCATCTGTTATGTTTCTTAAATTCCACATGAGTGAAATCATGATATGTCTTTCTCTGATTTATTTTGCTTAGCATAATATATTCTAGTTCTATCCACGTTGTTGCAAACAGCAAGATTTCATTCTTTTTGGTTGCCAAGTAATATTCCATTGTGTGTGTGTGTGTGTGTGTGTGTGTGTATCTCACACATACATATACACACACATTATATATATATGTACATACCACATCTTCTTTATCCATTTGTGAGTCGGACATTTGGGCTCTTTCAATAACTTGGCTATTGTTGATAGTGCTGCTATAAACATTGGGGTGCATGTTCCCCTTCAAATCAGCATTTTTTATCCTTTGGATAAATACACAGTAATGCAATTGTTGGATTGTAGGTTGCTCTATTTTTTTTTTTTAATGTTTATTTATTTTGAGATTGAGAGGAGAGAGAGGGAAAGAGAGAATCTCAAGCAGGCCCTACTCTGTCAGTGCTCAGAGCCTCACATGTTGCTCGATCCCATGAACTGTGAGATCATGACCTGAGCTGAAATCAAGAGTCAGATGCTCAACCCACTAAGCCACCCAGGCACCCCTAGGGTAGTTCTATTTTTAATTTTTTGAGGCATCTGCATACTGTTTTCCAGAGTGACCGCACCACTTTGCATTTCCACTAGCAGAGTAAGAGGGTTCCCCTTTCCCACATCCTCACCATCTGTTGTTTCCTGAGTTGTTAATTTTAGCCATTCTGACAAGTGTGAGATGGTGCCTCATTGTGGTTTTGATTTGTATTTCCCTGATGATGAGTGATATTGAGCATTTTTTCCTGTTAGTGAAAACCATGATTTCTAATGCGTAGCATTTGCAGCTATCAGGGTGGGGACATGAGCGCTGAGGCCACCAGTGCTACCCAGGCCAAGTGCAGGCTGTGACAAGTCTCCCTGAGAGTCCCTGCCAGGATTGGGGTCTCGCTGTGTCTGTGGGATTGGTGAGGGGTTGAGTGGAGTCCTAGCTGGACAGGACTGCTCCGCCTTCTTCCCTCCATTCCCTGGGGACTTCCCAGCTGCCCATTTACTGCCTTGGATGCCCCAACCTTGTCACTGGACGTCAGAGGGCCAGAGGTACCTTTTGTGCTTGGTGAAGGAAAAAAATTAGTTCTGGCTTGACTTTTAAAACAGATGATTACATTGCAAATCTTAAAATCTGGCTTTCCCTTAGACTTAAAAATACTCTGTTATTCCTTGATGGAAACTTGATCATAAACCCCAGAACACCAGGTCCTCCACTAGTTGACATACATGGAGAGCCTCCCTGTGCCCCTGGCCTGGCACTTGGGAACCTGCACCCCTATACAGTGGCAGGCCCCATAGGGTCAGTGATGGGCAAGTGGCATCTTAGGTTTCAGTTATGAGGTCAACAGGCTTTGCTTGACCACTCCCATTTTAGGTGGGGGTCACAGGTAGGCCACTCACCAGCTAGACAGGGAAGAGTAAAAGTTCTAAAGGTAGAACTTGCCCTCAGAAGGGCTTTCTCTCTCCTGCTTTCTGAATCTTCCCACCTAAGAATAGGCCTATTCTCAGCATCTTAGCCAGGGAGGCCTCCTGCCTTGGATGTGGCTTCCTTTGTCTGGAGTGCCAGCTGACTGCGCTCTCCTTTCTCGTAGCCCCCAGAGCCTGTGCCAGGCTCCACAAATACTGCTGTCATGGAGGCTTGGCGCCTGCAGGGTGTGCCTCTGTGTTCTTGCACTGGGAGCTGGGAAGCCCATGGCAGCTTGGGCTTACCTTCCCCGAGGAAGCACTGTGGGTCTCTGATGCCACATCAGGCAGCTCAGACTGCCTGTGTTAGCTCTGGCTGAGTGGCAAACCCACCCAGAACTCAAGAGGCCTGAACAACTGCATGTTCTGTTGGGCCAGCAGTGGTGGCTGGGCTCAGCTGGGGACTGCTTCTGCTGGCCCTGCCCTGGGATCTGACTTGTATCTGTGGTCAGCTAAGGCCTGACTGGACCTAAATGGCTTCATTCATGGCTGGGGCAGCAAAGGGGACTGCATCACATGTCTGGTTTCCTATAGGCCAGCGTGGACTTTACCACAAAGTGGTCTCAGGCTTTCAGAAGCCCTGAGAGGGCAAGCCTCTGCCTCACCACATTTGCTCTTGTTGGCCCAAGGAAGTCAGGAGGCCCAGCCCAGAAGCCAGGTGGAGAACCCTTGTCTGCTGGGAGAAGCTACAGTCACATGGCATAGGGGGTGGAGAGGGGTCAGCAGCCATTTCCACAGGAGCCACACGAATGTCCCCACCACTGCCAGTCAAGTGGGCAGCAACATGGTGGCAGCCTTGCTCTCACGGTGTTCATGTTCCAGTGAGGGACAGAGTTACCTAAACTGGAGAGCAGGGTTACATGGTAGAGACCATCGCCTGCTTTAGACTGGGTGGCCCCCACCAGACTCTGACAGAAAGAGGGAGAGGATCTCTGGAGGGATGACCCTCATGGGGAGGGTCAGGGTGAGGTGTCCTCAATGCTCTAGGAGTGAGGGGCCTGAGACGGTGAGAAGAGGGGGACCCTGGAGACAGGGAAGCACACTGCTGGTGTGCAGCCTGGTTGGGTGTGAGGAGGACCCAGGCTGAACATGCCACTGGACGGGGGTGGAAGGACGAGGGCAGATTCCAGAGCGCTGGTAGTCGAGTCTGGACAAGTGGATACAGGAAGCTGGAGGTAAAAATATGAGAATCCTCAGTAGACATTTCAAACCCTGGAAATTTTTGTAAGATCCTACAAGGGAGGTATGAGAACAGGAGAGGGTGCTGGACACGGTTGGGGGCCACCCACCCCAACGCATCTGAGCAGCACTAATAGAAATGTTAGCCACATCTATGCTAAATGTTCCACTAGCCACATGAAAGAGATGAAGTTAATTTCAATAATCCCTTTCAATTAGCCCAACATACCCAAAATATTACCTGCATTCAGTATTTCAGAAAAACAATGCATTCTTTTTTTCCAGTTTTCAAAATCCCATGTGTGTTAGATACTTTTAGCACATCTCAATCTAGACCAGTCGACTTCCAGAGAGTCAGTGGCCACCAGTGGCTAGTGCTGCTGTATGAGACAGAGCAGCCAGTAAGGGGAGGACAAAAGACCAGGTCGGGTGGAGGGGTGTGTGGGACAGAGGGGATGCTGCACCGAAGGAGAGGGGCTCAAAAAGGGATTGGAAGAGGGCCTCTGAGAGTTTACCCAGGCCATGCCTTGGGGCAGGCCTGCCTCACTGGGTCAGGGCAGGTGAGAGGGGAGAGGGAAGGGGCTATGGGGAGCGAGCAAAGTGGGAGGAGGCTGGCTGGGGGAGGAGGGAACTTGGTGGCCATGATGTGAGGTGGGACTTGCAGGGCAGAGGCCTGGTCTGGGCAGCACAGAGCCTAAACCCATGCTCCACCCTGCAGGGGATGGAGGCTAAAGTGTATGAAGATCTGGGAGTGGAAGTGGCGGGCTCAGAGCTAGCTTAAGTTGCCCCAGGGGCTCACCTGCCATCTTGTCTGTCTCCAGGATGGAGGAGCTGGGCCTGCACCCTGCTGATCGCCAGGTGTACTTTGGACAGCTACTGGGCATGTGTGATCAGATCAGCTTCCCACTAGGTGAGCTGAGCCTCCAAGGGGAGCAGGGGTGGGGGGGTCCAGGACTGGGACTCACTGCTTCTGCCTGTGTGTACAGGTCAGGCGGGCTTTCCTGTGTACAAGTATGTACCCTACGGTCCTGTGATGGAAGTGCTGCCCTACCTGTCCCGCCGTGCTCTGGAGAACAGTGGTATCATGAAGGGTGCCTGGCGGGAGAGGCAGCTGCTGTGGCAGGAACTCAAGCGGAGGCTCTGCACGGGCAGCCTCTTTCACCGTCCAGCCTAGTGCTCGTGGGCCACCATTTCCCACCTTCAGACTCACCCTCCAGACGCTGCCTTGCCTGGGCTGTGGCCTCCCAGGCCAATGCCACATTTACAGCCCAACCCCGACTTCACATGGATTCACCCTTTTATGCCCAAGACTGTGAGACCCACTGGATGTGGGGCCTCCGTGCCCCTCTGGCCTCTGCCCAGTATATGGGCATTCAGGCCATGTCTGATGCCTGCCAGAGACACTGGGAGCTGTCAGGGACTGCCCTTCAACGAATGGGCACAACAGCTATGACCTTGGACCCAAAGGACCACCTTCTGCCAGGGTTCATCCAGCTTACACCCTGAGCCCCTCAGATGGGCAGTCACCAGGCTGGGGAAACTGGCCTGGTCAATAAAACCACTACTCCTGCAGCCCTCAACTTCATTCTTGGCAACGCTCTTTCCCTCAAGCCCTCATGTAGGGCCAGCATCAAAGACAGAGTGGCTCTGATGGCTCTGCCACTCTGGCACCAGGTGTCTCTGGGGGCAACACCTGCCCTGGATGGGGTGCACCCACCAATACCTTCCTTCAGGCTGTATCACAGATTTGGTTGTGTAGGGTGCTGGACACTCCCACCCCAAAACTGCACAACCCAGATGACAGACAGCAGGGCCCCTGGGCACAGACCAATGCAGACAAGATACTCCTGGGATGGACTTGCTGCTTCCCTATCCTGGACTCTCTCCCCAGACTCATCTTGCTGCTCTGTGCCCTTCGCCCCAGCTGCCCCAGCTGCCCCAGTGACCCATCAGGCTCCTGCCATTGTGATCAGAGCTGACTCATAGCTGCCTCCTCCCTCTAGCCCTCAGCCCCACAGAGCAGACTAGATGTGGTCTCAGTGCCCTGCGCTTGCCCTGGGGGAAGGGAGGTATGGCAGGGCCTGCAGCTCCAGGAGGGAGCTCCAGAGGGGGGTGCCCCTGGGAGGAACCTCTGTGACCAGGGGAGTGGGGACATCTGCTGATTCTCCATAGGCCATGGAGCTACCAGGTGAGGGCCCCAGTCAAGGCAGATACCACAGAGCTGTCATACAAGCCACGTGCAGGCCACACTGAGACCTTTATTTCTCTGGGCCACATAGGGCTTGGGCCTTGGAGCCTCTCCCACTTACTTGGCCGGCTGCATCTGCCAAGGGTGGGGCTGAGACCAGAACAAGCATAAAGCCTGGAGCATGGCAGAGATTGGGTGCACCCAGTGGAGTGAGAAGGTGCTAGGATCTCCAGCCCTACAATGCTCAGCTCTGGGGCAGCCGGCTAGCAGGACGGGCTCACTCTTCCCTTTACCATAGCATCCTGGCTTTGGACAAAAGCAGAACAGAGAGGTGGGTAGCGGATGCAGCTGGAGTCCACCTGGCCTCTCCTCGGAGGGTTGACGCCTCCTGCAGGCAGCTGGGAAGGTGGTGGCCAGTTCTACTCAGCTTTCTGCTGCCTGTGGCGACTGAGGAACAGGGCTGTCTTCTCAGCCATGATGGGCAGCATGTAACCGGCAGAGACCCCATCTGGTCATAGGGCTGTCTTCCCCGCCTGGCAGCCCCTCTGTTGCAGCTTCCGGATGAGTTCCAATAGGTTCATCTGCAGTGTCAGCTCCTGGGATGCAGAAGGGCTGCTGTGAGACCAGCAGGACACCTAGTCTCTCCTGCACTGGCAAGAGCCCTAGGCAGAAGCGTCCTTTCACCAAGGGCCCACAGGCAGATATCAGGGCCTAAGAGCGCCAGGCAGTGAGCCCATAGGACTGACTTCCAGTGAATCCTCCCCATGTCTTGCCAGAAAGGGGGAAAACGTAGGGATGCCACCCCCAACAAGGCTGCAGTTGTCCAGGCTCCGTGCACAGGGAGGTGCATGCAGGGGAGGAGCAGATGAGGGCCCTGGGAGTAGCAGGCCTGGGGAAGGGGGGACGGAGGCAGTGGGACCTGCCTTACTAATTCCTCCCTCCTCCCCTCCCTCTACACACCCTGGGCCTGGCTCTCCAGTGACCAATGATAAAGCCCAGAGGGAATTGGGCCTTTGGGAACCAGCATCCCCTGGGCTGTGCCAGGGCAGGCCTGAGGCACTGACCTGTGGGTTGGTGGTCACATAGAAGCCAGCAACCCCTGCCTTCTCCAGTGTGCTCTGCTGGTCTGCAACCTTCCGGTCTAGCTCTAGGACAATCTTCTGGTCCATTGCCCGCTGCTCCTCACGGATCCGGTGCTCCACTGCCTGCACGGTGAGGGCAGCTCAGGGGCTTAGCCCCCTGCCCATCAATGCTTCAAACGTACACTGGTGGCCTGCCACTTCCTTCAGCCCCTCCCCCATTCCCAAGAGCTCCAAGACCACTGATGGTGCCCTTATTGAACCCAGGTTGCTCCCTCCTTGGCCACGCTGAACCTTGCAGAAATGCTCAGTTGCCCCACCCCAAATGCTCTCCCTTCCAGGACCTCCAGCCAGGTGTCCCTCCTTTGCTGTGCCAGACTTTGCCCAGCAATGACCGCTCAGGACCACCATGAGCTGGCCAGATGCCAGATCCACCTCTGATTACTATCAAGTTGCCAACTATCTCTGTGCCTTTGCATATGTTCCCTCCCCACTGGGACTGCCAGCCAAACCCAGCTCAGCACCTCTTCCCTGTATGCCCTGGCTCGGGGCCATCTGGGACCCTGCACAAATCTTTCCATGCACCACCACCACCCCTGGCTTCTTGGTTATGTACAAGTCTCCCGGTTGTCCTGAGCAATCTGGGAGCAGGACGGGCCTCTGGGGCTGGCTTCACCATCCCACCACTGCCCTTGCACTTCTAAAGCCATGGGGTACAATGGCCTCCCACTCAGCACCTGGCCTGCACAGGCCCAGCCCACGAGTAGCTGCAGCCCCAGGGAGCAAGGAATCATATGCTTCCAGTCCTGCCACATCCCAACCCCAACAGTGAAGAGAGCCATATTTGGGGACTCATCAGGCCCCTAGTGGCCCACCCAAGCTGAGGCCCAGAGCAGACAGCAGCTCTCAGTCCACCCTGTGCCCATTCCACCACGGCCCAGTCACCCTGCCCACGCCCCTACCTCCAGCTCACGCTGCTGAGCTGCCTGGAGCACGGGCAAGTTATGGGGTCGGCAGGCCTGCTGGGCTTCCTGGTGCTTCTGCCGCAGCGCCTGCCTGAGCACTAGGAAGAGAGGAGACCAGAGAAGACTAGTAGGTGGTGGGAGGTGAGATGGAGGGGGTCAGGAAACACCTCTTGTCTCAGCACCTGCCCTGGCTGTCCCACCGTGCGGCAGTCAGGCCAAGGAGCAGACGTGAAGCCCTGCCTGATGACCCAGCTAGCCAGAAGCCCTGCACTAGCAGCTGGGTGGAGTTCTGGGGGACGCCCAATGCCCTAGCCCATGTAGTCTTGCCCTCATCCAGGGCAGGGCCATTCCCTAGCAGTGAGGATCCAGGGGACTTGAGGGTGGAAGGTAACAGAGGAGGGGGAGAGAGGGCAGGCTGGCATGGGGGTGGGGCCAGGGCTATAGCCCAGGCTCAGAAGACCAAGAGGAGTGGGAGACTGCGGTCTGGAGGCTTCTGGGCTCAGACGGCCACAGGCCAGCATTCCTGGGTGAGCTGCCCATCACCCATGTGATATTTACAGAGATGTCCAGGAGACTACCCAGCAAAGGTCTGGGAAAAGGAGGATGAGGAGTCATTGTGCCCAAACATGGCATGGCCTCTGTTCCCGGAGGCATGGTTGTGTCCCTCCCTCAGAGCTGCCCTTCAGGGTGGGCAGAACTGCCTCACCCCATCCATCACTCCCAGAGGGAGTAGGGTGAGCGTAGACCCTGGAAGGCCCAAGGACAAGATGAGCCATTAGAGGTCCTATGCTGGGGAGTCTGTGTTACTTGGAGAGGAGTTCTCCATGGTCACTGAGGAACGCTCCTACGGTCGCATTAAATCATACCATAAATACAAGCAAAGTTGTCTAGTCTTGATAGGACTGGACCAAAGAGAAAGGTATCACAGGATGGAAAGAAACCAATATCAAAACAGCATATTCAAAACTACACCATGCAGATCCTAGACCCATGTCAAGTGGCTCAATCTCCCCTGTAAGGAGGCGTCCTTGGCCATAAGGAAACAAACCTAACACTATGTCTTAGGCAGGTACCTCTTAGCCAGTGGTTTGGCACCTGCTGTGCCCTGAGCCTTACCAATCTCCTGTTTCTTGGCATTCTGTGTATACCTCAACAGTGGCATTTATCACATTAAATGAGTGTGAAACCAAGAACTACCCTGGAGACACCTCCGTACACACAGGGACAAGGAAGATGCTCCCTGGTTAATGTTGACACCACATGGAGGCAGGATGGGAGGAAACAGATAAATACAGGGACATGTTATCTCCTTCACTCTGTTTATCAAACATTGCTGCAAATCCTCGGACAACTCCCAGCTTCCACGGGTGAGCAGCCACAGGTGAGGCGAGAGCTGTGGTCACTGCCTGGGTGGAAGGAGCCTGGCTTTAGCAATGACCAAGGAAAGCAATGGCAGCCAATCACCACCACCTGCTGAGTCAGAGGGACGGAAACACAGAAAGTCACAGGGTGCTCACCCATTGCTGGTGGCATCAAAACCTGCCCCAAACTTCTGAAGCACAAGTAGCAAGGTGTCTAGAGGGTTATCAAAAACTCCTCAGTAAAAGGAACCAGGACTCTGGAGAAATTGCTGCCCGCCCCCCCCCATTATTCAGAGCGCTTTATTCGCTCCCTGAACTAGTAACATCTGTGGATAAACAAAGACCACCCACATGAGAACAAGAATTACTTATTGACAGCAAGAGTGTTAATTGACAGCATTGCCTGCATTTGGTAGAGTCTCAACCACAGGCAGGAGTGGGAAAGCTTTTTGGTGGCCAAAGGGTGAGGTCCATCCTGATGAGAGACTGCTGAAGCTGGAAACAGGCTGAGGCAGGCAAAGAACAAGAGAAGCCTAAACACCTTCCTGTAACCAGGAGGTAAGGAAGTGCTCCAAGAATGATGGGGACACATCAAAAGGACACAGGAGCCAGCCAAAGAGCTCTCCCACTGACCGAATGTGGCACAATTTGAGCATTACAAATAATAATGGGCTACGTACTTTGGGTTTTTGACTGTATGCATCTTATGCCTCAATAGAAATGTTTACAAAGACAACCACTCCAACAGCAGGGAAAATGTAATACCAATTCTATAAAAAACTCTTAGAAAACTGAACAGAATCCTCATCCTATGAAGCCAGCCTTACCCTAATACCCCATCCAAAGGCATTATAAGAAACTACAGAAGCAAAAATTCTTAACAAGATTTTAGCAAATCAAATCCAACAGACAAAAAGGATAATGCATCCTGACCAACTAGGACTGACCCCAGGAATACAGTTTATCCCAGGAATAAAAAAAAAAAAAAAATCAATGTAATTCACCATAGTAACCAAAAAGCCACATGATCATCAGATATAGAAAACCCAATGTCAATTTCTGAGAGAAATGCTGATTTCTGCCATAAATGTTTAAGCTGAATATCATCGGGTCTGCAACTGCTGTCCAGTTTACAGGAAACAGAGGGTGCAGAAATGGTGAAATGAGAGCATGAGGAAGCGATCTGACAGATACAGCATGGGGACATCCTACAGGTAAAATTCCCCGGACTCTTCAAAAAGGCAATGCCATAGTAAATGTTTGAGACTATTCCAGAAGCAGAGAGACCAAAGTCACCAATGCAATGCATAAACCTACACTGTCCTTACAAAGGGACAGTTTGTAGTAACCAGTCGCGAAGTAACCGCTTGAGCTAAAGCCGACCCTCAAAGGGACAGTTTGTGACAAGTTGGGTAATATGACTGTGGACTGAAGGTCAGAAGACACCCTGGAATGATTAAGTTCTCAGGATGCTGTCCATGGTCACATTGGAGTGTTTTTGTTCTAGGGCACTGGTTCTCAATCCTGGGCCAAGGTTGATCCCCAAGGATGTCTGGAGACATTTTTGACTGTCACTGGAGGAACATGCTACTGTCATCTAGTGGGTAGAAGCCACGGATCTTGCTAAACATCCTGCAATGCACAAGACACTGTCTCACCAGTAAGGCTTGTTCAGCCATAAATAACAGTGCTGCAGTTGCAAACCCCGGTCTAGAGAAATGCTGAAGACCCAAGGTGAAACCCTACGGTGTTGCATATATTTAGAGGTATTAAGAACTTTGGCAAAATGTTAATTATTGACCCTATCTGGAGGGGATACAGGTATACATTACACTATTCTTTCAACTTTACTAAATATATTAACTTTTTTTTTTTAAATAAATAAGTTGGGTAAAAATAAAGTTACAAAGGTAGGAAATCTAATGGCGGCAGGGAGAGCTGCCCAGCATACCTTGTAGGAAGGGGCTCCGGAGACCCCCGAGTGGGGACGCCTCGGAGGAGCCAAGGACTGAGGGTGCGGTTCGAGTGAAGAAGCTTTTGGTTCCAAACGGTGACACAGGGCACGGGTGAAGGGTGGGGATGGTGTGGGGCTCTGCGCTGCTGGAGGGGGAAGTGACCCTAAAGCACGGCAAAGCTGTCAACACTGCGGGGCATCACCAGGGGTTGCCGGTCGCTATACCTTTGACCGTCACCACCAGGATCCGCCCGCGGCCCAAACAGGAAGACCTTGGGCCATCTTGCATGGACGAGGGCGGAGACACAGGTAACAAAGGTAAGTCTGGGGAGGGAGTGTCTGGATGTTATGTTGACGAGGAGGGATCGTGCAACTGAAAAAATTAAACTGCTTTGAACTTTTTGTCACCAAAAAAGCGCTAGCAATCTCCGTGCGCGTGACCTGCTCAATTTTAGGGACTTCATCCCAGCGACACCCAGGGAAGGGCTCGGCCTACACAGAGACTGAGAGCTAAACTCCCGGAGAAGCGTGCGTCGTCCCGCCTCCCCCGCGCACCTCGGTGCTCATTCTGCAGCCGCAGGCGCTGGTTGTACAGGCTCTTCTCGGTGAGGTGCTGGATCTCCAGCAGCCCCTGCACGATCTCGAACACGGTGCCGTCGAGAAGCGCCAGGGCCAGGTCGCTGAGCGTGGTGTAGGACAGGCGCTGCTGGAAAGAGCTGCGGGCAGAGGGACGCGGTGAGGGCGGGCGGGACTCAGGGCCGCCTGAGCCGCCCGCTCCGCCCCAGCCCGCGGCCGCCCACCTGGGAAGCTCTTTGACTAGGCTCTGTAGCGCGGATAGCAGCTGGTAGTGCCGCTCCTGCTGCCGGGCCCCATCTACCGCCTCTTCGAAGGCGCCACCGTAGCGCTCCATGGCGGTCGCGCCCAGCCAGCCGCGGGCCGAAGCACCCCGCGGCCCCTCTGCGTCAGTCCAGGGTGCGGTGCATCCCGCCCATTTTACGACCGTCTCGATCGCGGCGCGTCCCGCCCCCTTTTACGACAGTTGAGGCGGTGCGGCCCACCTCCTGCGCCCTACCGTTGAAGGCTCGCTCCGCCCTTCGGCGAGGTTCCTAGGAGGGTCCCTCATTGTCCCCTCCTCTTGCCCTGCCGTTTGGCCCGCGCCACCTGAGGCGTGACACCACAGCCTGGAAATCGCGAGATTTCGAAGAAGCCCAGCCTTCCCGTCCTGAGTCGGCCTGGACCGAGGCCTCGCCCCCCTGGGCTGTGTCTGCAGGGATAGGGGGTCGGTGGGAGGGGCGCGGGGGGGGGAGGTCTGGTCCAGCGCATGCGCCTGCATAGCTGCCCTTTGGTTGCTCCTGTCGCAACGTGTTTGCTCCTCTTTGCTCTCCCCAGAAGCGCTTGAGTCACTGAGCCCCGAGGTCCACCAATACTAGCGTCGTAACCTTGGGCCATTTTCGTCACCTTCAGGCCTCAGTCTCCTTGTCTTCCACTCATGGGGCGTTTGTCCGGGTTATCTGTCAAGCGAGACCCCTCCCACCCCAAACAGACACACAGGGTCTGGGGGCTCCAGCAGCGGCGGTGCAGGAGGGGTCTAGCACGCTGGAGGAAGGATGGTAGTGCGTTCCTTGCCTTCACCCCCAACCTCAACACCTTCATGGGAGAGTCCTGCCCCCCCCCCCAACTCCCTCCACCAGCGGCGTCAACATGTCGAAGAAAACCTGGCCCAATGCCTCAATCCAACCTTGAGAATAAAAGTCCTGGAATCCACAATTACACTCTTCATAAGCTACAAAAATCTACAAAACAAAGTTTGGATTGCTGAATATCCTGCTGGGCTCATGGGGTCAGGGGATTCCCGCCAAGAAGAACTAGCATCATGCCTTCTTCATCTCAGTGGCAGGGTTTTCAGCGCTACCAAAAATTGGGAGGGGGCTGCTGTACAGCGAAATGCAAAAGTAGGTAGATTCATGAAGAAGACAACCAGAAAGATTTGTGTGGCCAACTTGAGCAGACAAATCCAACTGGCTATGGATAGAATGCCCAGACCTCTGGAGGAGAAAGGCATGCTGACCCCCTGGGGGCTCTGTAGAGTCAGCACCAAGGAGAGGAGCCAGTTTAATTAGGTCATTTCCCAGGGTAATTGATTCCTTGACGAAGACTCCTTAACCAAACTTGGGCAGGCTCCCCTGAGCTCTTTTTAACTAGGCCTCAGACTTGGGCCCTGTGTTCAGCCTGCCTAGTCTAGTAGCAAGAATCCTGGTAAGTCAGTTTAGAGAGAATCCCCTACCTTTGATATCTGATTGCCCTTGAACTGATTAAATTCCTTGTTCCCTACTCTCCTACTCTCAAGAGGACCCATGTGGCTGGGCTGCAGCGGCCAAAGGGATATGTTACAGAGGCTCCTGAGGGATTGTCCTAAGAACAGTAGGGAGATCTGAAGGTTTGGGGGCACAGACATGATCAGATTTGCCTTTCACAGGTCACCCAGTAGCCACCATGCTGGTGAGAGGACAGGGCTTCACCTGGGGTGGGGTCAGGGGAGGACAACACAGGGAGGGGAGGGTTCTTGAGCCATCTGGGGTTGTACTGAAGTCCCCACTTAGTCCTCACAGTTTTGTCCATGATGTTTCCTCAGTCCTGGCAGGGGAGGCTCTCCTTTGTCCACACGTCCTCTGAGCCTGGAGCCAGGAATGAACAGAATGAATGAATGATAAGCACTCAGGCCAGTGCTGTGGAGCATGGAAGGCGGGAACAACCCATGGCGGGAGATGCACCCTGGCACCCCGCACCACACTCCTAGCTGGTGGCAGGAGCTGTGACGTGGGCACTGAGCAGCACGAGTGGTTGGAGGAATGGGCTGGGTCTAGGCCTGGGTGCTGTCACCTCCCTGGAAGTCGTGGTTAGAGGCCAATAGCAGCATCTGGGTGAGGGTGCCCATCTGAGTTCTGGAGGAGACCTGGGTGGCAGGAGGTGATGGGGTTTCAGTCTGGGCCCACCTCTCAGTTCCCCATCTGTGAAGCGTACCTGCATGAAGCCTTGAGTCTGAGAGACTTGTGCTGTGTCAGCTGGGTGACCATAAGGCCCCTCTGCCCAGACAAGCTCGGTGTATCTGGTTGCTCCGAGTCCTGGGAAGGCCAGGTGGGCAAAGTCAGGCAGGCCTGGTTTGGAGGCTGCTCCGTAGCCTTGTTCTGCTGCCAGAGCAGGAAGGCCTCCTCTGGCAACCCTAGTCTGACCTGCATTAGGGGCCCTCCTTCCCAGTGTGGACATAGACAGAGAGTCACTTAGGCACAGGGACTCCTGGGCCACCTCAGGGTCGCTGCAAGGGCCAGGTCTGGAGGGAGGGGTTCTGACCCCCAGACCTCCAGGGCTGATGGTGTTAGCACCACTGGCAGCTTTGTCTGCAGGAAAAGGGGACTGGCATGTAGATGGGACATACATATAGTCCCTTGTATGTCTGGACTCAGTGGAGCCACATAACACTCACACACTGGGTAGTGTCTACCATAGACTTTCACTCTGCAGCCACTATCTGTCTCCTCCACTTGGCCTCCCAAGCCTGAGAAGCTGGCTGGCAGGACTTCGGTGACTGGAGCACACTGGGCTGGCTCTTCAATGTCAGGTGGGGACAGTTGATTGCATTGTGTGCTGGGGAGCTGCAGTCCCTGTCTTTTGTCTGTGTGCCTGAACAGGCACAGCTGAGTCTATGGCATGAAGGGCTGTGCATCTATGTGTGTGGGGCTAAAAGCTTTACTGTGTAGTTTTTACAGGGGTTGGTCCTTGAGTGTTGTGTGTGCCTTTGAGTTTTTGTGTGTGTCTTATTGTGTGCATAGAGACATGGTTCTGCTCTGGTGTCCTGGCACCCTGCACACATCCACATAGGCCGTGCAGACACAGACATGAACGGCAGCTGATGGAAGTCTTGGTGAAACATCTGTGAACCTTCTAGAATGCCAGGGGAAGCCTGTGGAGGCCTTTTTCGAGGCCACTTTTTACTCATTCCTGACTCCCCTAGGAGCTCTGCTGAGGTGTGGGCTCCCTAATGGGCTTCTCAGCGATGGGGCATGCCACAACTCATGGTTCAGTTCTGGCCCTTTTGTTTCTTTGTCTTCCTTTTTGGTGTGTGAGGCAAGGACAAACATATGATGGGTTTGTCAGTGTGCGCTGGAGATTTTTATGAAGTTAGTATGCAAAGTCAGCTCATGTTATAATGGAGGCTGAAAAGTCCCATGATCGGCCATCTGCAAGCTGGATGGTGTACTTTGTACGCCAGAAAAGCTGATGGTGTACTTTGGTGAGAGTTTAAAGGCCCGAGAACAGAGAAGCCAATGGTAAAGATCCCAGTCTGAGAGCAGGAGAAGGTGTGATTAGGTGTTCCAGCTCAGACAGCAAGGCAAGGAAAAAGGGTTGAATTCCTCCTGCCTCTGCTTTCTGTTTTTTCTATTCAGGCCCTCAGTGGGTTGGATGAGGCCCACACACAGGGCGGGGAAAATATGCTTTGAAATCTGATTCAAACTGGATTCAAAACTGGAAACTGATTCAGTGGAAATGCTGCTCTGACCTGGAAATTTCTTTACAGACATACCCGGAAATAATGTTTAATATGGACCCCTGATGACTAGTCAGGTTGACACATAAAATTAACCATCCTAAGTCCACCCCCTGTCAACATGGCACCCATACACATCTCTTTAAGCCATAAATGAATGCCAAATAAGGACAATAACAAGGTCATGATTCTGCCTAACATGACACATGAATGTGAACGTGATACGTGAACCTTTGTATGACCAAAACGGCACTAACTCCTTCCCTAGAAGAGGAAGGAAGTCCTTGAGTGATGTTTACTTTTCTCCTTGAAACCATGTAACTTAAACACTATGATGTAGAATTCGCCATACTTAAATCCCATGATAAAAATTGGTACATCTTATGTTACGTGATAAGAATGTTAAGGGAGGAAAGAAAATAAAGATACACACAAGTGTATTCATAGTAAAATAAGGAGGAAATATTCATGATAATTATAGTCCTCATTCCTTTTTCTGTAAGTGATCATGTGGCCGTCGCTAGTATTTATAGTTACCTTCTTCCACTACCCCTTCTGTGTTCCTTTGCCTTTACCAAGCACTTCAACTAATTTTTGTTCTTTACCTGCTGGGTAAACCTAACCCTTTATTCCCGAAGGGTCTGGGCCATTAGTAATCCTGCCTATTAATTGGGTCATTATAGTTTTACATTAACCTTGATCACAAGGCATGGTAATACTAAGAGAGGCCCTAAGGGATCTCCTGTATATTCTTCCTTACTTCCATTGTGGAGTAGTAGTCCAATTTGCCCTTGGTAGTCAGGGTCAGTCACCCCAACCAACCTTCTTTGCTTACTGACTCAAAGACATGAAGAGACGAGAGTGGCTGAGTGGCAGTCTTAACCTCCGGTTCAGTGGAATCATTGTGTCTCCTGGTGGAAGCCTTTCTCCTTCTGTGTTTCAAGACCTTCAGACCAGCAAAGCATGAGGTTGTGGGAATAGAAATCAGAATTTTGCTAGTGGGTGACTAGGGTAATGGGAGTGGTGCCATTTCAGTTTACATCCCTCAGTTCCTGGACCTATGGCTTCTGACTATTGGAGGAAAAAAGCACCATATACATTGGATGCTGATTCAGAGAGTACACAGTCTTCTGGAGAACCTTGCCTCAGCCATGCAAGACACTGCCATTTAGTTGATACTGTAATTGAGTCTTCAAGTCTGTTCTATCATTCTGTCCAGGTGCCTGGGTGGTTCAGTCGGTTAAGCATCTGATTAAGCGTCCGACTCTTGATTTTGGCTCAGGTCATGATCTCACAGTTGTGAGACTGAGCCCTGCATCAGGCTCTGCACTGGGCATTGAGTCTGCCTAAAATTCTCTCTATACCCCTCTACCTCCTTCTCCCTCCCCCAACAAAAAAGTATTCTGTCAAGCTGGTTGTTTCAGGATTATGGGTAACATGATAAGATCAGTGAATTCCATGAGCATGGGCTCATT